TAGTACTACTACTATTACTAGTACTAGTATAGTAGTAGTAGTAGTAGTAGTAGCAGTAGGCAACGTGCTCGTGCGTTTACGCGGGTTCGTTGTGGGCGGCTGATTTTACTCAGGGACACGGATCGATGTATCTTACAGGTCTTTCTGGTGACCTCATGTAAAAGCAATAATTTTCAGCTACGGAATCTGGGGGAAAACTACTTGTGATTTCGAGGATTTTGACAGTTCAAGCAAAGGCAATGTGTTGCGGGCCCGTCTACCTCCAGCCATGGATGCCATGCATGCGGGCATGATTTACGCATGGCTGCTTTGGTCAGCGTATGCCCTCGGAACACGAACGTTATTCTGGTTTGGGCATGGATGCTTGTATGCTCTGGGAACACGAACGCTATTATGGTTGGGGCATGAATGCTTTGGTCAGCGTAGGCTCTGGGAACGCGAACGTCAGTATGGTTTGGGCATGGATGCTTTGGTCAGCGTATGCTGTTGGAACACGAACGTTATCATGTTTGGGGCATGAATGCTTTGGTCAGCGTATGCTCTGGGAACGCGAACGTCATTATGGTCTGGGCATGGATGCTCTGGTCAGCGTATGCTCTGGGAACACGACCGTTGCTATGGTTTGGGCATGGATGCTTTGGTCAGCATATGCTCTCGGAACACGAAAGATATTATGGATGCTATAAGGCGCCTTGCTGCCAAAACTTTGAGCCCAAAGTTTTACACCTTAGATCCAAATGCGTAAGCCTAGGTGATACCGAACGACATAGCTGCTGAGCTTTTCGCACATCCTTCAACTAGATGGATTTTCCACGAGCAAAGAAAAGAGTAAAACATTACAGTTTCATACAGTTTCAAGCCTTCAAATCCGCGAGCTTTAAACCCTCAAATCCGCAAAGCCTGGAGAACTCATGCGACATGCACGAAGTACTGCACAAACCAGTGAATTCTCTGCTTCAAGGCAAAAATGTGCTAAAAATCTGCACCAAAAATTGGCGCGCATTTGTAGCACGTTTCCGGCGATTCCCAAATCTTGCGCAGTTATGTAGCATGCCTCCCTGTCAGTTGTCATGACCAGGCTTCTCTGCGTCCTGATTATTTCGAATGAGTCTTAACAGGGTCAGAAGTGCTGTAAATACTGGTGAAAAAGGCCCTTCGAAGTCTTCTAGCTTGACATCCATGATGCTGAAGTTTGCTTCTTCTTCTGGTACTTTCCTAAAACCGTCGCCTCCAAGTCACGAAGAAAACGAGCCGGCAAGCCGAAATGACGCGTAAACGAAGAGGCGCGTGCCCTAGCAGTAGTAGTCGTAGTAGTAGTAGTAGTAGTAGTAGGAGTAGTAGTAGGAGTAGTAGTGGGAGTTATGATAGTAGTAGCAGTAGTAGTAGTAGTAGTAGTACTAGTAGTACTAGTAGTAGCAGTAGGAGTAGTAATAGTAGTAGTAGTAGTAGTACTACTACTACTACTACCTACTACTACTACTAGTAGTAGTAGGAGGACGTTGAATTTCATTCATTCAAAACGCAGCAAATACTAGAGGAGATGGTGGTAGCAGTCGTGTCGTCATCGTCCTCCTCCTCCTCCTCCTCCTCCTCCTCCTGGTGGTGGTGGCGGCGGCGGTGGTGGATTGGTTCATTCATTCAACACGAAAGGCAGTTGCTGCTGCTGCTGCTGCTGCTGCTGCTGCTGCTGCTGCTGCTGCTGGTGTTGCTGTTGTTGTGTTGTTGCTTTTGCTGTTGCTGCTGCTGCTGCTGCTACTACTGCTGCTGTTGCTTCCGCACTCTACCCCGACAAGTTTGAAGATGTAGCTATCAAAGGTCGCCGGATATTGCTGGTAATTCAAAACAGCTGACGCCAAGCAGTCCTCTAAAGAGACCAAAATATCCACGAGGATTCGCTCAGCTTCTTTCCTCTCCTCGCGCAAGAAAGTCTCCAAAAGAAACTACATCACCCTGCAGCAGCCTCTCGCTGAGCAGAAGGTGGCATTTGAATGCCACGGATGTTTCGGCTGCATGTTACCTGTTATCTAGCATCGCAGACCTCTACGGGGTCCTCAAACACTTGCAACTCCAGCCTGTACAAATAGCAAATTGGCCGCCTTCGTAGTTGAAGGCACGTGCGCCTAGCAGGTGTCTCAATGTCATGACCTTCCGGTGGCCATTGGTGCAGCCTGCCTGACGCGCATCTATGGCGGCGGGCAGCTGCACGTCTTGCAGAAGAGTCTCATACCACCTGTCTAGGACCTGTGCTCGCATCTAGGACAGGTGCAGAAAATGCAGAAGAGTGTGAGGGCCCAACTGATCGGAACAAGGGCTCGAATACTTCGAAGCAGGTCTCATCCTGGAAGCTGCATGAAACCCAAGAACATCCAAGAACCCTGCATAGCAAGCATAGCAATGGCAGTGTGAAGCTGGGAGGCCGCACTGCTGCGATGATCCCCAAGGTGCGGAGGATGGCATGGCCTCCAAAAGCACAAAAAGCACAAAACTATTTGAACTACAGTGACTATTACCACATGGCTAGGCGGCTAGGCCCCCTGCCCTTGTTGTCAATCCCAGGCTTGATACACTGCGCAAGGGACACCCCGTTGGGGGTGCGTACATCCTCAGGCTCATACAGATATGCCGGGCTCCTGAAGCCTCATCTGTAGATGCTGTAACTTCAGCTTACCGGCCTTGAGCTGCTCATAAAGCATGGGCTGCTCTCTGAGCACTTGCGCAAGCATGCTGTGATGACGAGACCTCAGCAGTATTTTGTGGCGAGGTGAATGATTGTTGTTATTTGTAAGCTTGCAGCAGATCTGGAAGCGGCTGCGAACCGTCTGATGCGAAGCCAGGATACTGGCATCGCTGAAGTACAAGCACTGCGTACGCGCAAGATTCGGCGGCCGGCTGGCAGTGCGTTTAAAGCGGTGCCTCCGCATCGCCACGGCCAGGCATTGCTGACCAATTCGGCAGATCCTACTCAAAGGCATCTTCGCGAAGTACATACAGTACATACAGAAGCTGCGGATGCACCAGATATCCAACTTGGGACGCTGCAACGTTCTCGTCGTCCTCTTGGCCTTTGCCCTCAGGTGTGATGCGAGAATCTGAGAGCCTACATGAGCCTGCCATCAGAGACCCGCAAAGTAGGTAAGCCTTGCTCCTCAAAGCGCTTAGAGCCTTCCTTAGCCTCCTCTAAGCCTCCGGCACCCTGCAGAAGCGGCGTGGCCAGCGGGCTTGGCCTGTTGGCCTGGCTCGCCTGAAAGCTGAAAGCTGAAAGAAGCTGAAAGAAGAGGAGGAAGAGAACGGAAAGAGAACGGAAGAACGGGGGGAAAGCAGTCCAACAGCAGTGCAGTGCATTTTGTGAGTTGTGTGCAGTGTTGTGCGCCTGAATGTAGCCCATCATGAAGGAGTATGGATCAGAGGGCCGGTTCGATAGAAGCTCATGGACCATTCCCTGCCTCAGTCTAGCAGCGTTTCATGGCACATCTCCCACGCCGTCGTCAACAGAGGGCAGCACAAAACTCTCTGCACTGAGTGGGCCTGAGCAGCTACATGCTTGTCACAGCTTTCCAGGCTGGGGTGGCTTTCTTCACATACCAGCTCGGAGGTGGGTTCTGTATTGGTTCTGTTGCGGTCAGTAATGGTGGTCAGTAATACTGCTAGTGGTGTCTGGTGTTTAGTTTACAAAGGGCCCGTCGTCGCTGACGTAAGACTGACCCAGCTTCACTTGGTGGTCCGGATTGTCACAGCCGCGACCATGCCGGGACTTTGCATACGTCAAGTATCGTCGGGTGCAAGACTTCAACAAGAGCAACAGCGGGTTTCTATGCCTAGCCTAGCCAAAAGCAGCAAGATCTGTGGCAAGATGACGACTGCCAGCCTCCAGGTATTGCTGAGCATCTATGGCTGCCTGCAGGGCTGCACGGAAACCATTGTCAGCGTGCTGCTGCATGAGGAACTGAGGCTATGCCTGATGCCGGGAAACTCTTTTTTTGGCATCCGGGATCTGAGAGCGGACCTGCCGGCGCGCGGTGCCAAGCTGGCAACGCATTGAAACCAGACAAAGGAAAATTCCAACGTTGACCTTGGCCTGCATGTCCAGGACAATATCTCCATCCCTTGCAAGGTAGATCAAGCCGGCTGTTTGTCCGTTCTCTTCTGGAGAGCTTCTACGCAGCATCCCAATAGACTGTACATTAGACAAGACTACATGACATGCCAAAAGCATTGCCTTCCCTGCAGCTGCACCAGTCCACCGTCTTTGCAGTTCGAGAGATCGGAGATACTCACCTGAATCAGTAGCAACCCGGTTGATGCTTGCACTTCATCTTTCCCACATCCATACACAGGCCAGCGCTTGTGCAGTACCAACTTTCTCGAACACATCCACAACCTTGAGAACATCAGCTGATGGCAGTTAGCAGACTAGCTTCAAGCGGTACGACACAGTTTCGCAATCAAGCTGAGGCCACCAGGTGCCGTGGCACCTGCTTCCCGTCGAAAGAAAAGCACTCGCCTGCAAACAACTGCAAACTGCCTTCCTCCCTTCCTCGCTTCCTCACCTGAACTTTCTTGAAGCTGCAAAAGCTGCAGTGGCCTGGCTTGTATTGGATCTGCTTTCGCCTAAGAGGACACTCGTCAAGGCTCCCAAAGTCTTGGACTCCCAATTGTTACAAATCAGCGCCCGGCACATCACCAGCTCGTAGGCTGAGGTAGGCTTTCTCTGGCAAACCCTGGAGCCAATCTTTTTGGCGAAGCTCCAAATGCATACAGCACAAGATGTCTGCTTGGCCTGTGCACTAGCCACGGTCACATCCATGACCTGAGCGAAGGCAAAACAACTGGAACTCCAGAAATTTCCAGAAACATCTTTCTTAGGCCACTGGCCAGCACCTGCGGGAGGCGCACGGCATCCCGCTGCTAAACGTCACTGTGAGCCCAAATTGCAGATGGATTGCCCACTGCCAACTGAAGTAAAGGACATCTTGTGAAGTCACAGGACAAGCACCGAGAGCCTTCCAAGAGTAATGAGACCAAGAATATCCAGAGCTACCTTCCTGAGGCAGGCCCGCCATCATATCACATCATGAGACATGAGAAAACCTCAGGCACCGGCAGCATCTGGGTCACTGAAAGCTCCGAGACTTCTTCGAAACCCCAGGGCCTGACAGCATGGTCGCCACTGGTCAGGAAGACCCACAAGTATACAAAGCAAATGACCCGGAAGATCTTGCATCAATCAACCCTCCAAGCTTCCACTGAAAACCCATCTGGGAAGGGCACTGAGAGCTTCGGCATCCCCGCCCTCCGTTGACTCTGCGAAATGGTAACATCCTATCAAAACCTCGAGCCAAAGTACTCTTAAGCAAGAACAATCACAAGCTCTGGAGGAATTAGCTTTCATGACAAGTCTATGGCGCAAACAATCACAAAGCAGGAAATCTTTTACGCTACTCATTGATCTACTGTGCTGCATCCCTTCCGCCTTGAACTGCTCCAGGCTGGCGGTTGGCAAGAATCGGTCACCACATCCATCAACCTTCATTTCACGAATCCGAAACTTGTTGGCTAAAGCTCGCTGACTGCTCTGCCAAATTCTGCCAACATGCCGGATGCACAGCGTGGCGTTGGTGACGGCTTCATCGGCAAAATGGTATCGCCAAGCGCGCTCAGGGGGCCAAATTGATTCTGCTTTGCAAGCATGCTCACCACTCTCTCCAGCCTCAAAGATGAGGCAGCTGACAGCCAGCTGTAAGGAACGAAACATGCTGGAACGATCTGGCACTATGTACTCTCCGTCATGTCTGGGCATTACTTGTGGGATGGAAACTCCTGAACACCAACATTGAAGTGAATGATCAAGCTGTAGATGCTACTGTTCTACCCAATGATTCCTCACGTCTCCTTAGAAACTCTTGAGACCCGAATTGCGCTGCAAAGGGTGTGCTGGGCAGGGCGTCTGCTTGCAACAAGAACATCTCTGCCTGCGAAAGCGTGGTGCAGCTTTTCATCCAGGTCCGCTGGCCGATCCGCCTTGTTCTGGTTCGGAATACATATCCTCGAACTCAGCATATGTGTCATCATCCTCGAACTCTGCATCCTCGCTGTATTCCTCGTAAATCTGCATGGGCTCGTCAGAGACGGTAGAATTGTCCAAACCAGCATGCTCCAGGAAGGTTGTAAATGCAGGAGGTCGACCTAGGAATTCTTGAAGTGCTTTGCCTGGGGCACGCCCGCCTCCTGGCTGCAGGATGCTTCGCCGGAAGCGCTCCCCTAGAAAACGTCTTTGCTCCCTGGTCTGTTCAGCCTTTTCGAAGATTGAGAAGACATCTGCAGCAAGTGCCTCGGCCCAAAGCTGGCCAAACAGGGCTCCCGCATTGTCAGTATTGAAAGGCCAGCTGCAAAGCTCTCGGTCTTGCACCCTCGGGCGCAGAACAGAGTATTCAGCTTCAACAAGCTTTGCAAGGTCGAAGACATTTAGGTCCCCAAAAGGATCATAGTCGGCATGGAGTTCTAAATCAATATGCGCCCTGGCAGCCCGCCGCAGGATACGCATTCCGACCAGAAAGTTTCTGGAGTCAGCTAAAGCGTCAACCGCAGCAGGCGGCAAAGCATCACCATTTTGGTAGTGACAGCTCATCTCGGACAACACTTGTCTATCATAAGCCCATCTCTCAAGAAAATAGGCAGGCAGCTCAATGATATCCATTTCAAGCCCCGTGCTTCCAGACAGCAAACCCTCAGGTTGCTCGCAGAAGAGATCACGTAGACTTGATCCGAACACATGGAAAAGCTTCACCACCTCCCCATGTGTCAGCAAGCTGGGCATGTCATCTTCGGGAGGCTCCAAGTCGCACATGATGTTCACAGCGGGCCTGCGCGGTCCGAACCTGTTGCCCAAGATCTCCGAGTAACCCTGTATTGGCGAGACCCAGAAGCCTCTCTTCTTCTGACCCCATCTCCTGTGTGCATCCAGGAAAAAGGAGGCAACCAAATCACCGCTGTCAGCTTCTGTGATGCGAAACAGCCGCACATGTTTTGCCCACGTCAAATCACTGGCTTCCTCCGTGACCTGCATTGCAAGAGGCAGGAAGGCATGTGAGGAATTTTGGCCTCCGGCTGACAGATGCAGAGATCAGGTCATATTTTTCCACGGCTTGCCTCTCTACCTCCCCTTGCTCCCCTTGCCCCAACACATCCCGACACTGCCTGGTGCCTCGACAGGTTTTGTGAGCCAGGTGCCGCAGTGGACGCGCGCTAGCACTGACACTTGAAAGCAAATGCGAACATGCAGTTCTGCAGCAAGATTGGATCTTGTGTCCTTAATGTTTGCTGCACATGTTTTCTGGCGCTCATCCCACCCACGTTGTTCTGTTCAAGGCTTCTGCAGCATGGGTTCCAAGTCATTGCGTGAGGTGTCCGTACAGCTCTCGCAATGCTTCAGTAAGGCCCAAGTTTCAAGGCAGCCTTCCAAGATACAGATAGACTCCTGGCAAATCTGCCGCTTTGATGCCTGTCCAGCACTGGCTCGCTGAGAAGAGCTGGGCTGCCTAGTATTTCGTCCACACGCTCTTCGGCTTGGATTCTTGTCTCTTTGAAGAGATACTTGCTCCAGGCTTTGTATTTGCTGGGAGGGGAGCAATGTCCTTCAGGGCTTTGGATTGCAGATTGGGTCTCTTCGGCTATGCTGCAGACATCCGTTAAGGATTCTGGAAGAGTATGAGACATGAATACCAGATGTTCTTTTTAAGGAAATTGACAGATTTGGCATCAAGAATGTGAAATCTGCTGTGCCGGTGGGCAATTTGTGAACAATGCCAATATAAAACGACTACAACTACTTGCATCTGGTCTTTGAGGAGTTTGTAGGCCGAAGAAAGAGCTGTATCAACTGTGCCTGGCTCTCTTCCGCATCCCCTCAACCTACATTGTAGATGCACATATTCAGGCCGTGGCGAAATCTGAGAGTGCTGGTTTGCTGCCAAAACGGCAAGACTGAAGGATGCATGTGGATCACTTTGATTTCTCCAAACAAAGCTACTGGTTCATTCAAGTACTTTCCGGCAGTTGACATCGACTGCCAACGACCCCGAAAACACAAACTTGTTCCTGCGAATGCTACTTGTTAAACCAGAATGTGGCGCCACCACCTCTCCAGAAATACGGCTGAAAGCGCAACCAAGCCATATGAAGAGGTGATAACGCAGTTTTGAAGCGCCGTCGCCAAGTTTCCGGAGAGACATCAGTAAAGGACACTCCAGGGCATGTTCGAGGCCAAGTTTGCAACCGTCAAAAGCAAAGACCATAAACATACATGGTGACAGACTCAACATGACCTGTCCTGCAGCCAATCTTCGTGTTTCTGAGTGAGGTCACTGCGCTCGTAGCGTGAGTAGACAGTGAAAAATTTGTCGCCAACACGCAAGAAAGCAACGGAACCCAAGGACAAACTCAACACCATGCAAGACCATGCTGTCATCTTCATGAATGAAGGTAAAGGCGCAGTCTTCAAGGCTCGCACAGAAAGCTGCAGTTCCACCTTTCTCCATCTCAGCTGCTGATGTCCAAGTGTGGCAGCTAAACGTTGGAGCAAGGTAGCTGCAACTTGAGAAAGACAGCAACAGCATCACAATGATGCCATCACGCCAAAGCAACCTCTAGCAGCTGACCCCAACGTAACAAACTACGCCGCACATCAGCAGACGGCAGGGCGTCAGGCCATAATGAGGTGAGTTGGGCAGCAGCAATCATACACACGACATGATGCCGTTGCAGCTTTAGCTAAAGCATTTTGGGATATGCTTCAAGCCAAGTTCCCAAGTCCTCCAGACTGGACACAGTTGGGGTTTGGCACTGACGATTGGAGGAGCGCCTTTCGCCAGATTCCTAATAGTGGTTAGTTGGTTCGACACCGTAGACCTTGCCCCTAGGCTTGCTGTCCTGCACGCGCACCTTTTTGGCTGGGGGTCGGCCATGCTCAACTTCAATCGCACACTAACCTTGGCATGTGCAACAGTCAGGCGATGCTTCGGACGCGTTGCAGAGCAATACTTTGATGACACGGGGTCTTTTGACTTGATGGATCTGCGCAAGAGGCTGCGCACGAAGTCCATGATGCCTTCGGGGGTTTTCTTGACAAGGCCAAACAAAAAAAATGCGTCTGCAGAGGCCGTCCTTAGAGGTTCTCCTGGACTTGACCGGGTTTCTTGAACGGCTTCTGAAGCTTGACGTGAAACCGGGGCTGCGAGAGTCTCTTGTCCAGGGCGCAAACGCTCCGGTGAAGGAATTGTACCAGTGCCCAAGCTGCGAAGCTCCGTGGACGCTTTGGCTGGGCCGCATCAGCAGCATTCGGTAAGCCAGCCAGGGGTGGGGCGCATGCTTTAGTCAAGCGCCAGCATCATGACAACAAGTCGGCCATACATCCAGTCCTCGAGCGATCCTTTAGGTATCTTTAGGTTCCTTGCAGCCTTGGCAGAGCAGGCCCAGCCGCGATCAGTTCCCTTGATTCAGCCCTTACTTCCCAGGCAAACCCAGATAGCCCCCTTTGAGGGGGGTAGCTAAGCTGCACAGTTCCTAGAGCGCCGGGGCGCCCCTGGTTTCTCTACAGGCGCGCGCATGCCTTTGCCAGAGTGCCACGAGCTGGTACCTTTAAAGGTGCCAACGCGGCTATGGCTCACTATGGGCCTCTCCATATCGTTTGGCTGAGCTTTTTGAAGATGACAGAGTTGGGCAGCAGGAAGGCTAACAAGGGTAGAGCCACTTCTACGAGCTGCACAGGCTGCGCGTTGTCTGCAGAACAAGGGAGTTATGGCAACACCAACGGCCGCCGCGGGCGCATGCAGTCCAACACCACCTAGGTGGAGGGACAGGCCATAGGTCCCAACCACAAGCCTGGACCTCCACCGTGCAAGCAGGCTTACAAAGCGCTCGCTTAATAAACCAAACTAAACCAGACGAAGACTTATACAAACCCTGGATAACCTGGGCAGCTAATTTAAGGGGATCAATCTCTGCTGTACACTGAGGATCGAAAGCAGGCACCGCATCAAACGCCCGACTGCCGAGCAAGAAACAACTGTCCTGACTCCCACTGGCATGCTGGGGCTCGCTTTGCTCAGCCTAACCCTAACTGCTTGCATTGGTGTTCTTCGGGCGCCGAGTCCGGCGGGGCGAGAAGGCTTTTCCGCCTCTTCTTCGGCACCCTCTGCTGTCGCGGTCTTGGTAGGGGGCCGAGTTCGATTGGTCCCGAGCTGGGCGAGTCTGGTCTCGGCCTAATCCAAATCCTTCAGCAGAACAAGGTTTGCCGCAACCCAGTGAAGTTGCGCCAGTCTCGCGAAGCTCTTCAGCCCCGGAGCTTTGCGAGCAATGAATCCCTAAAAAGATGGGTCGGGGTACCCCGCCATCAGGTATGCGAATTGCAGCTTGCCTTGATCGAGAGCAGACTGTTCCACGAACAGGAGGAGACGACTTGCGAATCCTTGGAGCTCGACGTTGCCGGAGCGGAAGCGGTTCTCCCAACCGTACGCGGCCATTGCGCCGATGTACTGCAGAGTCTTGTGATCGGCACCGAGCCAGGTGGCTCTTTATCCCTCCAGAGCTGTCTGACGCGTTGCCCCCACTTGCGAAGGCGTCCTGAACGCCGCCCCCAGAAGAATCGGACTCTGCCGCATCTGCGCCAGAAGCAGCGACCTGCAGCGAAGGGTCCGGCGATCCCAGCTCTTCGGCGGGGTCTTCTACATGAGGCGGCAACGCTTCCAGCTGCGTCTCCACGCGCAGCCCCGACGTAGCGGCCTGCTCTGGCCGAGCGGCACGTTCGACACCTTCTATTCTGGGAGTTGCTACGCCTGCCTCCGCCTCCTATGCTCTTTCGAACTGCTCCTGCGCAGTCTCCGGGTCCAGTTGATCCACCCAACGGCCGGCCACATCAAGAACGTTGCCAGCAAGAGGCCACGCGCCAGTCCCTCCAACCAACAGTGCAGTCAATCGAACACTTTTCTCTGACGTGCTCGACGTCTGGGACCAGAACCATAAAGCCATTGGCACGCCTGCAAAGCATGTAAGTAGTGACAAAGCGATCCGGCAGGTTCTGCTCGGGCACCACTTGGGCAGCAAGCCCCTCTTCTCGAACCTCTTCTCGAATTAGGGGCACTCTCCTCATTGCCGGTGCGGCGGCCATGCCGCTGCGCTCCCAGGATGTATGCTTCGACCTCGTCTTGGCTTGCGAAAGACTGTGCTGTAACCAACGGATCGAATGTGCGCCTCTGCGGGCCCCTGACTGCCATTACCTCAGCGTAGGTGTGAGGGTTCTGCGTCCACAAGCTCTCCAGATTTGGGCCACCCAACACGATGAAGTAGGACTTTCGAAGCCCCGCCACCTAGGTGCAGCCTCGCACGCAGTCCAGCTCGGTAGGCCCGAGTCACTCGAGCAAGCCCTGTCCAACCACTTCCCGTCCCAGTCAACCGTCCAGCCAGCGGCGCCAGCCCAGGAATATGCAAAGCGGAAACTTGTTCTGCCGCGTAGGCCGCGAAGATCTCGTCCTGAGTGGAAGGAGTAGGCGCAGCAGGAGGCCCAACCAATTCAAAGTCCTCAGCTGAAGAAGGCCGATCTACTCCTGGCCTGCGGCGTATGGTCAGCTCAGGACCAGGCCAATCATTGGTGGGCAGTCTGGCGCAAAGGTGGGAGTTGCCTGAATTCGAACAACAAAGGGGCCACCCGTTGCGCTACAGCCATGCGCCTTCAGAACTTGAGAAATGCAGCCACATATTCGCTGCGATGCTGGAGATATTTAATATTTAGCATCCCTCGCATTTGGTTGAAAGCCGAGGCCTGATACACCACTGACCGGAAGCATTCTTTGTGTGTGTGTGTGTTTTTGTGCAAGCGGCCTCTTTTGACTATAAGGAGGGGGCCGCATCATGCACCCAGTTTTTGTTGAGAAACTTTCCATTTAATACAACAACAACCGCACGCGTGCAACTGTGTCCGTGGATGCAACTGACAGCACGCACACCAGGATTCGAGCCGCAGATAGCGTTAGAAACCACCCTTGTATATATATATATACTTCATCGTTTGTCGATTCTCTTGTCAAAAGCGGGATACACCACCGCGGCAACGTGCCGGAAAACTGATTCCCCAACCTTCTCAGCCGCCACCACCTCCCTCTGCGTGCGGTTGCTTTGATTGGTGTACTGCGCATTATCAAGTGGGAGAAGCTTAAGTGGGAGAAGCTTTGCAGCAACAAGCCAATGCAGAAGATGCTAGATGCTGTTGGGGATTATTGCGGACAGATGGGCAGCAAATCGGAGTGAATTGCACTCGCTGACAAGTACTCTTGCACGAAAGCCTGATGTTCCTTTCTAGGGTTTTCAACAATCGGTGCAAAGACTTTGCAGGTTTCCTTGCGGGGGGGGTTGCTCCAATGAAGCCGGAAAACGGAAGGGGAAGCGTTCAAGAACGCTTTGATATGCGCCGGCAAGACGGGGCCTGTTATGATTCCAAAAATGGTTCTCCAGCAGTGATGGAGCGCAACAATCACGTCACGCATGGCAGTTGTTTGAACAGTGCTTGAGCGCAACTTTCATGTCACACATGCTAGCTGGTGCAAGTTGTGTTCACCATTGCTGTTTGATGTTGCTGGGCCTTGCCTAACTTAAGTGGATTCACGGCTGTTCGAAGGACGTTGCTTCACGGCTGTACCAACAACATTGGACCAATTCCTCTACAAGTAGCAACGGACTTGCAGCTTGTGCATTAGATTTGAGCGGAGCCTTCACTACTTATTACTTCACTGCCCATGGAAACACTATGTCACTATGCGCATAGTACGACCCTCTGACGTGTTTTGGATCTATCGACTGGCAACCTCTCGTGCCGTTCTAGGGCTTTTCGCTGACAATCGGTGCTGCACGAGTGGTCCCGCACTGGGCTCACTCCCCCAGAGCACCCAAGTCAGGTTGCGCTGGGGGCTTAAGGTTGTAAGATTTAGAGTTGAAATCGGTGTCGAGGATTTTGGGCTTTGAGCTTTAGGGCTCAAAATTCCGGGTCTCAGGGTGTGGGGGTTTGTATGATTGGTTGCGGGGTATGGGTGGTTTCTTTCAGGACTGAAGGATTAGAGAGGGAGCCAAGGTCCAGGGCTCAAGCTTCAAGGGCGGTGGGTTTGAGGTATTAGACTTTCGATGGGGCTTTGCTTTTCCGGTACAACCTTTGCTCACGTGCTCTTTGCTTCTCAGCTTGCTGGCTTCCTTGCTTCCCCGTTCTCCAGCTTGCATACAGGCTGGCTGGTTGGCTGGCTTTCATATGTCCTGACTTCCTTCCGCCTGCTTCTGTGCTTCTTGCTGGATGTTTTGCATTTCCTGCTTGCTGGCTGGCAAGCAAGCTTGATTGGTTTTGTCCTTCCCAGTATTTTTACCTCGCCGTCTTGTTCCTTCTTTGCTTGACTGCTGGCTGGCGGGCCAAGCCGGAACCCACGTCATGCCCAAAGAATATCGAAACTGACAGAAGCCATGGCGAGCGTTCGCCAACCGGATTTCTGCAGCAAACATTGCAAACACCGGCCTTGACGTTGAAAAGGTCCGCGACCAGCGCAAACAAGACTTTGAGTACGGAAGAGAGGGGGAAAAACTGGCGCACATATTCGTCTCGCAGCCCATAACGCTGCTCCATCAGCTTGCTTCCCCAGTAGTCTATGTCGAAGTGATCCAATTCGTACTCAGCACCTTGGGATCGAGCCAAGGCTTGCAACTCCTTGAGCTCTGCCTGGGCTACTGGAAGGGCCTCCTTTCGAAGCTTTGCCAGGAGGCCATAAGCCTGCTTTGGGCTTGCCATGGTCCTGGTAAAAACAACGTCCGCGTGAGTCCTGTAGCCAACAACGTTTGCCAGGCGTCGCCGGAACTGCAGCAAGTGCTCCAGCATCGGGGTGTTGTCCCCCTTTCCGGCACCACCAAGAAACGCAATCCGCTTTCGATTCTCATGAACGAGCTCTCGCAATTCTCTGCTGTCAGCCGTTCGCAACACAGGCTCGGCCACAGCATCATGCAAGGACAGTAGCCAGGGACCCCTTTCACGGGTCGCTTTGGGGTATCCAGCTTGCAGGGCGGCCTGCGTGGCATCCTGCAGGACCCATTCCGGCACCCCTTCAAGCTCGCGCCTGTCTCTGATCAAATACGCCCTGGTCTCCATGTCTCGCTCAACATTTTGATCCCATATCAGGGATATGTTGAAGATGGCCCCGCGAGCCTTGTGCAGCTCAAGGAAGGCATCTGGATCATCCCTGTAGATGCCATTATGTTGTAGATTGACTCCATCTTGCTCAAATGAAATCATGAGAAACGCCGCTGCTCGCCTCTGGGCTTCAGTTGCGTTATCGTCATGAGACAGAAGACGGAGGAAAGCACGGGAAAACCTGTCACATCGACGCAGGCGGCGTTCGATGGTCCAGCGAGCTTGTGCAGAATATCTGTATGCCTTACTGAACTTCACTGATGGGTCCAGAACATTTTTGATGTGAGTTACAGTCGCAAAGGCCCGTTCGACTTTGTCCAGCACACGCTCCAAGGGATCCAAAACGTATCTCCAATCATCAGACACGTAAGGCACAACGCAGTGATGCTGCCAAATATCGTTGATTGCATTCTTTTCCATCCACTCATGACCACGATGGGCATGTTCTGGTCGAATGTCTTTCCACGGCGGGAATTCTGTTGCTCCGTTCAGCAGGATATTGGTTCCATGCTTCAAGTTAGGGATGATCTCTCCATTGGAAAGGAAAGGCTCTGGGCTCCAGTTGTGGCCCTCCTTTCGCCAGGTACGCTCTGCCTCGCGTTGTCGTCTAGCTTTCATGCTGAGGTGTGTGACCATCTCTTCCATCCCTTGGCTCTCCAAAACATCACCGCTTGCTCGTAGCCAGCGTCCTGTCACGGGCTAAGAGGCTAAGCAAGAACATGCCACGCTTCAAATTCTACCTCGTCCACTTGGGCTTGAAGGACCCGGAATGAAGAGTCTCAAAGTTGCAGAACCTGCAGCAAGCACACATGGCAAAAAACAGAGACAAATCAAAGTAGGGACAAGGCTGCTACTACAATGTTTACTGCAACATGGCAATCGGACCTAAAAGCCCCAAGCAGAGAGCCCGAATGCTTCTTCGGCACCTTGGTTTTTTGACAAAAAGAGCGAGCGAGCCACCGATGCAATGGATGCAGTTGTTCTTTCAACCGCTGACGGCTAGTGACGTTGTATCAAGGAACAGCCGATAAGGGTCTGCAACCATCCACGAAGCACTCCGGGAATGCATCGCATCAGCAATGTGTGTAACTCTCCATGAGCTTCAATAAATGTTACAACAAGCACCGCTTGAAACTGGTGGAAGTACTTATCGAATCTGCAAGTGTCAGGTAGAACTGAGGTTTGGAAGCAATTTCATCGAGGCTAAGAGAATTGCAAGCTGAGTCGCGAGCTAGATTGGCATGGCAATTGCACAAATCTCAGAAATTGGAGCATCCATGTTTTCCGCAGCGCTCACACGGAATCGCCCTGTGAAACATGCAGCGAATCTACAGACGTCCTTCACAAACCTTCATCGCCAAGACCTGCTGGTGAAACCAATTTTTGACCATCCCCTGTGACTTCGCTCGCACCTCCTCTGTGCAGATACTGGTCTTCAACTGTCCTGCAAGTGCAAGATAAGTATAGAAATCGCGAGCAAACAGAAAAACATGAATGCTTGCAATCGCAAACCCGAGAAGCTGGTGGGCTCCTGTCAATGACCTGACATGCTGGACTGCAAGAAACACAGCAACCCATCGCTCTAAGGGTAAGGCATCTGAGCCAGAATATCCCTGCAAAGGTTCTGTGGCCTGTGAGGTCGTGCCTGGCATGGCTTTGAAAGCACAGTTTGCAACTGCGTCGCGACTCTTGACAGGGGCTCCGGCTCTCGTGACCTAGACGGCCTACCTGAGAAAAAGCAACCCTTTCGTGGCCAGCGAATGCCCTTCGCACTTTGAGTACGCCACCAATTTTTTGAAGCTGCTGCATCCGCATCCTGGATTGACAACTCGTGCAGTTCACTTTGACCTGCGACATTCCCACAACCTGTGACCTGCAAATCCCGCATGACCAAATCTCGCATCGAACACGTTTGGAGGGGGCGAATGCATTGGGAATCGTCCAAGTCAAACATCTCTACAACCACGTCTGCGACAGGACGATCTCCACTCGGCGCAGATGTCCTTTTCTCAAATGTTCACAAGGGTAACGACCCACAGTGTCTGCTCTGATGCGGGTCATTTTGCAGGCCATTGCTTTTTCACCACAAGTTGATGGATGTTGACGGATGGCTTTGCCCACTCCACCCGAATGAATTTGGTACGAAATCATGATTTGCTCTGTCTGCTTTGCTCATATTAGGCAAAGCCAAGGTAACGATTTTGCAGCTTGCAACATGTCTGTCTATGCAACTTTTGGCAGTCCGAGCTGCAGCGGGACGTTGTGCACCTTGCCTCCCTGAGCCGCTGTTCAGAGCCTGGAAGGGCTTTCCAAAGCCTGTACGTCTCGAAAGCGGTTGTCGGCAGGACGCCGCGCATCTGTACACCAGTCTCGCGCGACTGGGACAGGAACTTACCCTCTTGTACTTGTCACTGCATAGTCTCCAATCGTCTCACTGATCAGGGAATGGGCGGCAAATGAAGCCAACAGCTTGCACCGTGCCGTCCTTTTGCTAGTGAATCCTTGGCAAATCACGTCATTTTGCAACCTACCGCATTAAGGAAAGCGAGACGCGGCAACGGTATTGAAGCAACCGTATCCCTAGCTCCCCAAAGATCTCGCTCAGCAGCAACGGCTGCCAAAGTCAGCATTGCACGTAGCCAGAGTTCAGTTCAAAATTCAGAAAGACGGTGATGCCTTGCTAATGGTTTCCTTCCATTCGCGGGACATCATACATCCAATGCATGGGCACACAGCACGCAAAGCCCGGCAGAATGGCATCCAGCCAATTGGTGCACTGCGCACAAGCACTCAAGAATAACTGCTCAAGCCTCTGTGCACGCTAAACCCGCTAAACTGTTGGATGGATGCTGGATTTCTCTAACGACAGCATGAGAGCCCAGCCTCCTCGCATGCAGAGGCCCCCAAGTACCTGAAGATTCTGTAGTAATGCAGAATCCGAAGGCGAAAACGGATGAAAACGAAGAATGCTGCGCGTGTCGCACCAGAATCAATACTGCAGCAAGGCCCGGAGACAACACCTTGCGGAAGGCTGAGGCAGTCTTCAGGCTCTTTTCAGCCATCTCTCGGGGCTGCACACTCCCTTCTTGTTCCCCATCGGACTTCACAGTGATCTGCGCAGAACCTACCCCATGTCTGCAGTACAGAACCACTGCACAAAAGATCGATTTGCCTGACCATACCTCTTGCTGAGCTTCCCACCATCCTCACTCCCAAATATGGCACACCTCGCTACATCATAACGCCGCTCCAAAAACACCATGGTTTGACTTATCTGGAGGGCCACCACACGTCTTGTTGATCTTCAGCGTGTATTCTCACCACTCTGTCAACCTTGCGGGTACAAGTTTCAAAGATCTTGATCCTCGACCTATGCCCTGCCTGCGCTGGAGCTTGGTCAAAGTCAAAAAGTGTCTTTGGCGAAGCTTTGGAGGATGTTAGAACTGGCAGTGTGCAGGAGCACGCAAGCAACAAACTACGACATTTCAAAGCAGACATGGCCGGCCGTGGGAGATCTGTGGCCCTGATAGGAAGGCCAACTGCATGCTGCGCAACTGGTGAATATTCCGTAGATGGAGGAGCGTCATTCGATCTCTGAACAAGCGCACCTGGCTGTCAAGGTATGACTCGCTTCTGGTCTTCCTATCTGTCATGAAAGCGTCCAGCCTGCAAGTGAGCAACTGCTGCCTGACGAATATCCATGGTGTACATGAACTGCTCCCCACTTGGATATTCCTTCAGATGGCTCAGTGACAGGTGAAGCTCTTGAAGCAGACTGTCCTTGTTGTGCGTCATTTCCACACTTCTCAGATCTTGAAACGGATTGTACAGCCGAGCCGTCCTAGTCACGGCCGGTCTAACAGAAACAACATGATCTTTATAGCCCCACTACCAACAGCTGAGACTCCAACCAACTTTCTTCTGAGCTAGTGAAGCTCGCATCCTCAACCAAAGAAACATCTGCCGACGCAGCAATGTAGCCCCTGCCAGGAGGCCAAGCTGCCAGAAACTGAATTACAAAGCAAAAGCTCGAGCTGCCTGTCAAGCTTGTAGCGCCTGTGGTGCAAGACTCCCACGAAGACATAGCGTGTCTCCTCTCAGCACGAAGCTGCAAAAAGAAGGCGTTACCGCAGACAAGCCGGCAAAGTGGCAGTCCGAAGCACCGTTGTACATGCACTTGGCTGCCAGTGGTAAGCAGCCAGAGCAGCAGTGGCAGACTCGGCAGGCAGACTCGTTTTGAACGCCAAAAAACCCGTGCTTTGACAGTCACATCAAGCTGGCGGCGTTTGCACCGTTCATCTGTGCTGTCTAAACAGCTCATGCAGCTGCCGCAGCCCACCTTTCACACTGTTGCATACAAATGATCGGTGGAATTTGGGGCTGACACCTCACATTCCTGTGCTTCTGGGCCAGAGCAGCCTGCATCCACCGCAATGCTGCGCAACCAACTATTCAAGAGAAGCAGTGTGCACTTTCCGTGGCTAGACAAGACAGCTCTTGTCACGAATAAGGGCCAGGCTGATGTCGCTAGCACATGCTGCAAGACTCTGACTACACCTTAGCAAACATTGCTGACATTACTGACTGTTTGTCAGCACCTTTCGGACACTGCCACTGGGCTCGAAACGCAGGTTGAGAGCAGTCTTGGCAGGATTCGCTACATGGTTGCTTGTCCTCACTTTGGGCCTCCGCAGCTACCCAAATCAGAGCTATGAAGGAAGAGTAACTGTCTAAGACAGTCTCAGCTTCGCACACATTGCAAGCACTTCATGCAGACATCCTACAGCTTGCTGGGAAACCGCAAGGTGATCATTCCAAAGTTACCTGCCGACAATTCCAATTAAAGTCGTCCTGGCAGTGCAAGAAATGAGGAACGAAGCAGGACGGATTGGTCAGCTTTGGTGCTTGCGGACACGCCTTCAGCAGGCGCGGTTCTGGGGCTACAAAACTCTGACACGGCCATGACCTTGTGAGTCACCTGGCAAGCCTTGGCACGCCTGAGGCTGTCGCACCGTCAGAAAGCCGTCGGGCCATGCTGGCATTGACCTTGAAGCGCTCCCAAATCTGAAAAACTTTCTTGGCGGCATGCGGCATGTCTTAGTTCATCACCTGCTGGGTCAGCCTTCGCCGCGGAAGAGCTGTAGGCCCCTCACAGACAAAAACAGATTCATCTTGGGGCCGAAGAGGATGCGGGGCTTTCACTTATGCAGAAGTCGAACATACACAAAGACCTTGTTCGGAGCAATGGATGCCAGAGGCGGTGCTTCTACCATTCCATCGCCAATTGTTGACGGTCGTCCACCCAAGTCGAGAGATTCCGAGTTGTCATAGGCTGCAGGGCCTCAAATCGCCAAGACATCAAAAATCCGTTGTTCCGCCACAAGGTTGGCCGCCTGCAGTTGAATCTCCGAATCCTCCAAGCGCTTCGACCTGCTGCAGACGCTCAGCACCATGAAAGAGAAAATGTCGCTGCTTGCCAACCTTGAATTTCAAGACCGTGCGCAAGCCTCAGGCAACTGCGAAAGAGTCTAGTGGCTCTAAGTTGCCACTCAGCACATTCGAATGCATTGAACTCTTGCCATGTGCTCTCGGCTGGCAAAGCTGGCTTTCGAGAATGGTGTTCGGCGCCGACTTACGGACTGCTGCAACACCTCAACTCATCCTGAACCTAGCCTCGTTCTTGTGAAGGAAAACCAAACTGAGAATGCCTTTTCAGCTGCCTTCCGGCAGTGTGATGTAAGGGTTTCCCCAAGCCGCCTCTCAAATAATTCTCTTTGAGGCAGGACAAGTTGCTCAGCCCATGCATGCTCACCGCACGTTTTGGTTAGTTCTGCGGTCTTTACTCTATCTGTGTCATGCAGCAAGAGCCCCATTCTTTGCATCAACATGCCGACAAACAACCAACATGGCATCTCCAACACTTTGCATGCTGTCTGGTATTGCTGTTGGACAGTGTGGCCCATTAGATCCTGATTTACACGTCCAGACATGTGCTGGCAACATCTGTTATCTTTTGGTTCTCGAGTCCGGATTCATGCCTTTCTTGTCACGGGTTCATGATGCTACCTGAGTTAAAGACATACCAGTAGAGACAGAAAAATAAAGAAAGAGCCTCAGGAACAACAAAAGGCAGATCTTGTGCGGCTGTTCAGCGGCTGTTCTTTCAGGCCCAAGCATCGGAGACAAAGACCCTTGAGACGTTAAAGCCCTACGGCTGCATTCCGAAAGTTACAAGAACTACCAGCCAGATTCTATGCGAACACGATTCTGAGACTCTCTGCGAAAGGGTGTAGTCCAGCTCACTGCAACTTTTCGGCAAATCACCATGGTCGAGTGGCGGTGGTTGACCCAGTCATCGAAATTGCTCAAGTCATACCTGCAAGGATGAGCTCGTCCACGCTTAGACAATTTGTCCTCATGCTAATGCCATGCCAGGAAGACGAGGCTTTTGTCGGTAAATCATCATATCTGACTAGAACAACAAGTGGAGCAGATGCCGAAATGTCCACCTGACAAGTCAGACAGCAGCGAAACTCTGCTTGGCAAAGTAAGCGGCCTTGACATACCCTCCCGGAAAGCGTGGTGGCACATGAACCTGCAACCAGGCTGCGGCCAATCACATGCAACAGAATTGTCTGAGCGCTGTGTGCAGAACATCTTCAACCTAAAGCTACACGCGCACCCGAAAGTACTGGTAGTGGCCGGCAGACACCTTGCAGAAGTGAGGCCATGCTTGCAGTATGCTCCGAGAACTTGTCTGACCTGGAATTGAAAGTCGCTGTTGTGAAGGATCTCGAATTTGTCATGTTCACAAGCTGGTCCTGCATGATGACCTGAGAACGGCAACAGCTGCCATGTATCAATGCTCAACCTCAACCATCCTCAACTGCAGTCTGGCTGAGTCTTTGTCTGTCGCACTGGCATTCACCATGCTTGTCGCAATGTCCAAAGCCGGAACAGAACTCCAACCCCTCCTCAATCCAAAGAGCACCAAGCCAAAAAGTGGTTACATGTCACCTTGCACGACTTTCATGTGCCTTCGGTCCGAGCTGTCCAGGAGCGGCTGCAGGAGCCATGCCACGCCCTGTAGGGCAGATGGACCGGCTTCGGAGATGCTCCTTGACATGCTTAGCAAGCCCCTGTACGTCTGCTTGCTCTTTGACAACTCATTGAGGGGCAGAGGAGCTGGCCCAAAACAACAGATCGAAAGCAATGAGGTACGAACAGTGCAATGAGAGCACTGCATTCAACTCCTTGCAAGTTCACACGAAGCCATTGTCTCCACACATGTCTGCTAAAAGCCATGGCCTCACTAGCGAACTTTCGCATGTTGACAAGGCGAAGGATACCGCCGTCTGGACCTGAAACTAATTAGCTCGCGAGGGCTGCTGGTTTTCAACATACGGGTGCACATATGCTGCCTTTGTCCCTATCAAGATTTGATTGCATTTTGCCACACAAAACAAATCCTGCAACATGTTCACCAGCTTCAGATCAAGGCCGAGCCCTTTCGCGGTGGCGTAATGGTCCCCAGCATTATCCTGTATTGCCGGCAATGCTCAGCTGAAGCTGCGAAAAGAGTTTGGCACAGCCAGGCCTCCAACCAATGCGTAAAAGTGGACGAATCATGGCCACCAAAGGACCTTATCATTGCCAACGGACCCTGTCTGCAAAAAGCTCGCTCTTCGACACGCTAAGATCCTAGTGTGACACGATTTTACATAAGGTACATAGATGTCTTTTCCTCGTGCCAGCTTTCAAAACTGCCATGACGTGTCCAGGTTGGTCAGACTGAATTAAGCACTCCACGGCGGTGATTCAGGATCCACCGACAGAAACAACAATGGGTCTGCTCTTTCGGCATAACTTCGCAAGGTGACCTCGATTGCTGACACAACTTGGCATGGTTCGAGGGCGACATCAACAAAAAAAAGTTCGACGCATTGGATCTGAGAGGCCACAATGTCTGCGGGACCACCCAAGCAACTGAACTTCACCAGGGCTGCCTTCCACGATGGATGGCATGCATCCTTCAAGCTCCATGCAACAAAACAGCCTGACCAATGCCCACGCGAATGTAGTAGTCTTGTCCGGGCGACAGAATTTCATTGTCCTTGTCCACGACACATGATGGTTCAATGCTGGAACTTTGGTTGTCCTGCACCTTCTGGCCATCGAAGTTCTGTGCCGAAATCAAGGAAAGAAGCAGCAAGCCTGGCAGCAGCAACAGCGTTTGGTTTTAACCAATGCAAGAACTAAAGCTCAAAAAAACACATGGCGGGATGCCACTGTTCCATGATAAGCACTTCATCTCATGGGTGCGAATTAAATGATTTTTTGTGATGCATGCCTCGGCGACCTCCAATAAACAACAAATTGCAAACAACCTTTTATCCCCTTGAACTTCACTAGGCGCCAAAAAACTCAATACAGTATGTAACAACCATCTGGACCTAAGCGTGTCTATTATGTCACGAGCAAACTTCAAGCGCGTCAATACCAAAGGTTCATCCAATGCTTTGATGGACAATCACCGCCAACCATACAACCAAAGAAAAAATTGCGAAGCAAGACTAACCTCCAACCATTTTGGACATGCACTTTGCTCGGGCCATGAAGGTCGCCGGCAAACGATGATAAAGTTGCACGCTGAGGAAACAATGACACATTTCCAAATGGCTAACAAGCATATGCACTGCGCATCATGCGGCCGCAGCACGTGTCATGCAGGCTTACGCGACAGTTCTCCCGCTTGACTGGCATGCACGCGATTTTGCATCAATGATTCCAAACCTGGATGCATTTATGGAAGCATCACGAGTGATTCGTTCAAACGAAGAATGGGGAATCTTTGTGGAATTTCACTTTTGAGTGCCGCTCGAGGCGCTCTCAGCGGAGCACAACAACATGCAAGGAGCAATATGAAACCATCATTCATTCCCCAACGAAAAGGTGGATCAACCCAAATTTGTTCAGCTTGAACTGCATCAGCTGCAAGCTCCAAAAAAAGTAGAGCAATCAATACAAAACGTGTGAAAGCCCCACACCTGCAACAAGCACAGGCATTGTACCCATAATAATTGCAGTTGCATAAAAATGTACATTAATATTCTGAAACTTGACCGATCCTGAACACGAATCCACATCTCACAACGTATACGGTCTTTTGTTGCCAATTGCATCAAAAGATCCTTTCCAGTCGGATCTGGTTTTTGTGCGGACCGACAGAATTTACCCCTTACACAAAAACATCATGTAGGCCCTGTAGGCATGACTCACCCAAGTGCAGGCGAGGTGGATCCACCTTTACAAGCATCGCATTCCCTAATGGAAGAACACATTGCGGTGCACCCCAACAAAAATTACCCGTTGCTCAGGAATGTTGGGCTACACTTGAAAACGCAGCTAAGTTTTTCAACTACCTTGTTGCATGTGAAGAATACGGAAGGCGCAAGTGTATGCACCCGCTCGAAGAATTTGAGGTTTGGCCAAAGGTTGGCATTAAACTGAATCACTTGACGCACCGAACAGCAACCCCATTTTTGGGTCAGGGCTAGTTCATGAAGTACTTTCCTACGCTTGGCTACTACTCCCAAACAGCAGAGAAGGCGGCACACTTTTGTCAGGAGGCGCTCGAAATAGGTTTTGTTTGAGAGGGAAGCTTCGGCCCCCCCCCTCTCAATTGGTGAAACGGGTGAGAGTTGAACTCAACTATGCATTGACTAGTGCAATGTATGGCTGTGCGAGCCATGCTATGCGTGGTTGAGCGAGTTACTAACAGCAGTGCGTGCTAGCAATGCGTGCGTTAATAGGGAGTGGTGGGTGGGTGCTTTGAAAGAATTGCTGTCCGGGCCAAGCTACGGAAAGTACAAGTATGCAATGCAAGCCTAGGAGAAGCTACTCCAAAACATGCATGAGAAAATAAAACATGCTACGTTCAGGAAGTACTTTCCTACGCTTGGCTACTACTCCCAAACAGCAAAGAAGGCGGCACACTTTTGTCAGGAGGCGCTCGAAATAGGTTCTGTTTGAGCGGGAAGCTTCGGCCCCCACTTCAGGTTCACGCGCCTCTGTGCAGTGTGCTGCGTGATCCCCTTCCGCGTCAGAGGTGAGAGTACCTGGCAGGACACGCGGTGGCTGTGTGAGCTCGCAGAAATGCAAAGCCTGCAGAAACCAAAGGATGCGCTAGCTTTTTTACGCCGGCGCTACTGGATGCTGTGCTGTAGCCAGCTCGTCGTGCCAAGCAGCCATGCGTGCGTTCTCGACCTGCGGTTTGGTTTGCACAGCGTTGCAATTTATTCGGCAGAGTTCATCAGCCCATTGGTTCTTCTCGCCTGCCACATGCGTAACTGCAAGCTGTACGTTATGCCGAGCAGACCATGCCGCAACTTGCTTCAAGAACAGTGAAATAGGCTCTGTGGTAGTAAAGAGCTTGTTCACACCGGCCTCAGCCGCTGTGTTGTCTGAAGCAGAAGGCAGAACGAACTTGAAGTGCTTTGATTGCAGTCTTCTGAACGCCAGCATGGCTAGTGCGAGCTGTGCCAAGGTTTCGAAGCAGGCGATGTGTGACTGTGCACGCTTATTGAGGCATGGCCAATACTTGCGTATTTCGGTCATGGACCAGGTCTCAGAGAACCAGACAAACTGCTTGGACGTGCTAATCCAGCCGCCTATGCCTACTGTTTCCCCTTCCGCCATTGCGTCGGCGGCTGCCATGCAGCGCAGGACTGGGGATTGACGCATTGCGCGTAGCTGGTCATGCGTAAAGCACGAAAGCAGCCAACGCAGTGCCTGCCTGCTTTCATTGCGAAGGCGCACTTCCGCGCGCGCAGGGTCAGACCCATTGAGGCTTGCGCGACGGCGGAACGGTGGGAACGTCCTGCTTGCTGTGAACCTTCACTGCACCGACTGCCAGGAATTTGGAGTTTGCGGAGGTCCACATGCCTGGAGGCTGCGCGGTGACCACCGCCTCAGGGGAGAGGCTGTCGCGAAATCTACGCCAGTCCCTAGCATGTATTTGGTCAGTGTCCCATTGCTGCTGCGCAGGTCTTTGTAAAGAGGGGCCAGGTACGGCCTCAAGTGTGGGCACGTGCTGGTAGCCCACATGAGGAGCCCTAGGGAACTTTCTAGAAATTTGGGTAGGATTTTCTTGGAGTTCGCCAGCTTGTCAAGCTGGTCCCTGAGTTTAGCAAGCTTGGCTTGGACTAGATGCAGGCATTCCAGGTCGAGGTGAAAAGTCCAGCCGCACCATGTAATGACATTGCCTAGTTGCGCCTTGCGCCAGCTGATTGGTGCGTGCAGCGCAGAAAGGAGGCAGGTTATGAGTACTACCTGATCTTCCCAAGAGCTGCGCGCCAGCATGGCCAACAGATCGTCAACACACAGCCAGGCTTTGTGGCCGTGCTTGCTGAGCAGTGCGTGCAGGATGCGCGTGATTTGGGACGCCACCCGTTGCCACCAGTATGCACTAAACTTTGCCCCAAAGTGGCAGACGGTGTAATGGTAAAGGCGTTCTTCAACCCTGAACAATCTCATGCGCTGAGACCTTGACGGATTTGCTCCGTATGCATCGTTGCGCTGGAAAGTGCGTTGCACATCTAACGCGGATGGAAGACTGACTCTTTCAGGCACCGTGCAAAGTGTGTTTGCGTTGCAGACACTGCTGTCCAGCACAAGCCGGGGCTCTTCGCCGTCGGGTATACGCTCTTGGAAGCGCCGAAAGGCAACGCACGCAACTGACACACAGACGGTTCCTGCTTGACACTATCACTATCCCACACGGATATTTAAAACTGTTCCAGCACGTGCCTGGATGCAAGGGCAATTGCCTGTGTGCAGCAGTCAGGTCATAAGCTTTGCCCACAAGCGGGACGCCTGGGGAAGCAGACATCATAGCTTTGCCCATTGATGCCAGCATATCCACCGTGTGGG